GCCCACTAACATTAAAAAGCCTGCTTCTCATGAAACTCTTAAGCATGTATCAAGTATCACACCATTGACATCTTTCTGGACACCAGAACACTTTCTGGACACTCTGTCTACACGAGCCAAATGTGCAAACAGCAAAAAAGTCAACTGTGGGTGGAAAAGAACCCTACTATTTTTCTAAAAACTGTAGATCTTAATTTCCCAACAGTAACACACCACTTGCCCTTGTTCTGCCACATACCGAGATACTTAATTGTATGGCAAGAAATATATCCATGCTAGAGATTTTCTAAATCTGCTAGAAATACTCTTCTGCTCTTTCCTCAGCATCTGGTAAGCTGGGGACTCACTTCTGAAATAGCTTTGCTATCAAACATGGCATATATAGGCTATAAAAACATAAAGGTTTAATCGGCACTTTCTGACTTAAGTTCACTAATGGGTTTGCCAAATTAACCAGTGCAGAATTGTGCAAATGTATCTTTAAAACCCATTTTTTATTTGCATATTGCCTTTTAAGAGTGTATTTGTCTTCTGGTTTGGTGTTTTACATATTTACAAAGATAATCGAAAATTTTGGTTTATTAAGAGAAAAATTGCATAAAGTGAGAAGAACTTTCGTGGTAACTTTGGGATCTCATAACTTGTAAATTAGCAATGAAAGCACTGGAGATAAATCTTTGGAAGTGTATTTGAAGTTTTAATGAAAGAGTCAGATTACAAAAAGCCATAGTGGGAATCTTATATAAGGAAGCTTTAAAGTTAGTTGCAATGTATTAAAGAACAACATTCAAATAAATTATTTTTCACTGCAGTAAGCCAAGTTTTTGGAGATAGAATTAAAATTGGGCTTTCATTTTAGACCAACTAAAGCATAACATTAGACTATAATACTGCATATACTAGTGAGATCCAAATGCCCACGGTGTTGCAAGAGAACATTCTCCCTCAGGCATTTGAAATTTAATGCTTCTTTAATATTCTCTGTTGGATATTGTTAGAATGGAATTTCAAATATTTCCTGCAATTTGAGTTAAAGATTACTGAATAATGCTGAGCAGCAAAAAATTTTTGAAGCGTACATCTAAAGCTGGCATAGTAGCTTAATGTCCTGTTGTTTCTTGCTTTAGCAAAATTAATTTCTACAGTCTTCAACCATGAATTCAAGCACCACCTGGAGATACAAACCCATAATTTAACTGTGGTATATTTCTAGCTCCCTTGACTAATACACTGAGGCTAGACCCTATTTGTCAGACAGCCATAAAAGGAAAAGGCCATTTCATTGCAATACTTTATAGTCTTCTAAGTCAGACAGTGGGCAACTTGAAAAGCAGTATCTTGCCCATTGTTGTAAATAAATGAGATCATGAAATAGACGTACATGGTTATGCCCATATTAAAAAGTATATATTCTACTGTATAGCCAAGAGTAACAGCTTTTCAATAGGACTCAAAGTACCCAATTAGGATCCAACCTTTTCACCATTCATGTGTTAGCACATTACCATAGTTACTCAATACAGGTAAGGGTAGACTGCAAATTAAACCTAACAAAAAGGCATAGCTGTATCATTCTAGAAACAAACGAGAAAAACACTAACTATAATCCTGATTCCCTTTCATTGTTTACATCCTGGAGAAGCCTCTTTCATCCAAAGAGGCAGCTACTTTCTTTTCTGTCATTTGTGTCCACAAAAAAGTGTTCACACTCCTGATTTTGTTCCATGCCACAGTTCCCTTATCATTCATCCCGGGAACGTACAGACCCACTCCTTAGCTCTCTCCTACAGGGAGCCTGCTGGTTCCCCTCAAAATGGCTCAGAACACTGCTCAGACAACATGACTACCATGATGAGTTCAAATGAAGTAATACCTCAACACCATCCCAGCTGGATAAGGCAACTCTAAATGCCTCCATGACATGCCCAGAAGTTTTAAACATCGGATTTCTTATAGCATGAGACTGAGAATCATCCTCATGGATTCCAACACAACTCTTGTCAACATTCTGAACGCAAAGACCAACAAAAATACACAGTGCATGCTCTGGAGCTGCAGGAAACTCAAAGTTATGTAGCACTGGTATGGTAAACAGAATCAGCTGGAATCAGGGGCCTATACTTTCATTAAAAGGATGTTACAATTTAGCTTTACAGCGTGCAACTGACTAAATACAAGCATGTAGAGAAATTGAGTACTTGTGTTTACATGAGCATAATGAATAAATACAATTTCTTCTTTCTTTCCCCAAGGATCAGTAAAACACTGAACATGGACAGTACTATAAGCAACACTAAAGCCATCTATAGTCTTTCTACTGCTGCATAAAAATCAATTTGGGTAAGGTTTCCAAAAGTAGGCCAGATATCAAAATAAATCTGTGAAGCAGCAGCCAAGCCTCCACACAAGAAACAAACTGTTTAGTTGGCTCTTAAGCTTATTACTTATAAATCCACGTTCTAAAAGTTATGCTTCACATATGAATAATGTCATTAAGATAAAAAAAAATGGAATTTTCCTTCTGCCCAGAGTTAGTTTTTAAACAATTAACTTTAAAAAGTCAACATTGTAAGACATCATTCCCCCTCCCCAGGTATTTCTAGTGATATTTTCTTTAAAACACCATTGAATAACTGGGGGGGGAAAGGAAGAAAAACTCATTCTGGATAATAGCAGCTCTATAATTTTGTAGAATTGTTACACAGGTTCTCTCTTCTTTAGATCAACCTGCCTATTCTAACTGGGTTTAGAACACATTAACACTTTCATGTTGCTTTATAAAACAAGAAGAAATTGAATGAAGAAGCTATTGCATAATAACAAGATAATTTCAGATGTTCATAAAAAGCAGAATTTCATTGCTCATAAGCTCACAGCTAATGCATTAACATGCCAGTTTTACTGAGCAGGAACATACTAAAACAGGTTGGTACAACATTCATTCAAAAGAAGCAATGTGATATATATGCCTTGGAAACTCACCATATCAATACAACAATTTCATCACACTCCAAAAAATCCAATTAACCAAGGAAATGTACCATTTCTTGTGATCAATGTGACATTCTTTTTACATGTATCTCTAACCTGACATTCTTCTTGTTGCATTTGAATTAACAAGTCTTATTTTCCAAGGCAATTGCTTTATTACTTTTATATAGTCTGCATGGAAAGAAATCTCATTAGACGCACTTTAATGAAAGTATTTCAAATAGTTAACTAATTGGAAACCCACTTAGCATAACAGGCAGACAGCAAATAAAGAACTTTCTGCTGTACTCATGCCATTCTCCTATTTTCAAAGGATGCTTTTACTCCTCCCGTCTCTCCATTTCCCATCTCACAGTGGTTTCCAAAAGCCTCTAACACCTCAGCTCACCTACCATGGGAAGAAGTACCTAATTCACTCAGAAGTTACAAATTACAACCAACCTCCTCCACACACTGCAATTACCAAGTAGAAAGTTCATACATCTTGCCACAAAGTGTCTGTTCAACCCAGAAAAGTGTGTGCTAAGGTAAAAGAGAATCCAGCAAGACTATTTCTCATGCACCAGCAACACAGTTTTTCTGTTCTTTTTGATTCAGAGATCAACTGAATTTACAGCCAACATACCAAAGGCTTTGTGTGCATATGTGTACGTCTTGGTTGGTTTGGTTTGATTTTTAACAGGGATTCTCTATACGCTGTACTTTAAGAACTGTGAAAAGAAAATCCTCCCAAAATAGTTCACGGATGGTGGACAAAGTTAAATCTTTGCCTACAACAGGGCTGCTATTACCAAGCCGCTATGCTATACCACAACCCCTAGTCAGTGATGGAGCTCTGCAATACCTGAACTGTGCTCCAGGCATGTGAGTGTGAGACCAACCACCTCAGATCTAACTACACACAGACAGCAATGGAGGCCTTAATTGCTAGTGTCCTCTGTCAAACATACAGTAGCTGTTTGTATGATTAACTTAATTAGAAATAATAAATAAAAAAGAAATTTCTGGTCACAAATTTTTATTAAGATTTGACTCATTAAGAGTTCATAAAGATTATTAATACACACTGCAGGATATCATTTGTGTCTCTTCATAGTAGGCACATGAGGACAGAATGTTTTATGGCATCCTATCTACCTATTAAAAATATACTAAAGGTTGTATAAATCAATTAATGAATGATTAATTACCTCTAATTATGTAAAAAATTCAATTATTAAGAAGCAAAAATGAAATAATAGGATAAAATGAAACTAGTTCTATGGAAGGTAAAATTTATCTATAGGAAAGTTTTCTGAACCACAACAAAAAAACCCAATCAAAAGAAAGGAACAGGGTTATAAGCAGAATTTCTAGCTATGCCAGTTTGAACATACCATTTAATGTCTATGCAGTATTACGTAACTCTGAAGTTTAGAAATTAACAGTGAAAAATTAGCTTTGGACAGTAGCATTTTGAATACAAAAAATAATGTATAAAAACATAAATTCGAAATGAAAATGTGTCTATTTTAATTTTCTAAACTAAGATTTTAATTGTTCTTGCTTATACCTGTCTTTATCTTTTCCAAAGTCTATTAAAGATTTCTCACATACTTTAAGAAATAGCTTTTGATCCTCTTAATCCCATTTCAGTATTTTTTTGTAATGCTTTCTTTCATTTCTGAAAAACCCCCTATTATTCTTCCCCTGGATCATAATCCAGAAGAGGCTTCAAAACCATTCCAATTCTACTATTATTTCTAGGACTGAAACTGGCCTTTATAGTTTATGTTTTTACATAGAATCATAAAACAGTTTGGGTTGGAAGGGACCTTAAAAGACCATCTAGTTCCAACCCCACATAATCTTAAGCATTTTAAACATATTTATCACATAGACTTAGCTACAAAAGACACATTTTTGTATTAAAAATTGTAAGTAAATGCATAAAAGAAAAACTGCATTATATGTGGACACCATAAAAACACAAGTTTACAGATTATTGAAAATTATGTGTAAAAACTTACCTAAAAAAATTCATCTGTTTCTATAGGTGGAAATGAAGAAAACCAAAATTCCATCCAAAATACACTTAAGGAACACAGCAGCTGTTAAGAGAAAAAAATTTATTTTAAAATCTATTATAAAAAAAGAGAAAGAAAATTGCCATCCTACCCTGCAAAACTACTAGTTGTCTTGAAAAATAATACTTAAGCCCCCCAAAATGGAAATTAAATAATCTAGACTATTAAGTATTGTTTAATTACACCGATTCCAAGTAATTTAATACCTTTTTAGAGCAAAAGCTGTGAAGTGTATTTCAAGATTAAACTGAGAGCTTAATCCATGTGTACATTAAATTTGTTACTTCTTTTGCACGTAATATGTTTTATTTACGCAACTTTTTCTTAAAGCACTACACAAAAGAAACATACTAATGAAACATGGGGGAAGCACTAAAGAACATTTAAAAATTACATCTTATGATTACCTTATGATCTCAAAAAAAAATTAATATTGTCAGTAGAAAGCACAAATGTGGCAAGAAAATTATGAGACAGTAACAAACTGGAGGAAATCCGACAACAAAGTTGACAGGAAAACCAGCATTCTATTTGGAATGAAAATATCCAAAACTTTGAAAAGGTGCTAAGACTAATAAATAAGAAAAAAAAAAAATCAAATATACCACACTTCTTGAAGATGAAGGGAAGATGGAAGAAGATTTGGAAGAGAAGATTTGGAAGACCAGGTTGCAGGAACTCAAACACTGTATGTTTACAGAGTCCTACAGTGACGACAGCATAAGGAACACTATGAAGGACCAAAACTTCCTACACCACCAGAAATATTTCCATCCAGAAGCAAAGGATGTGTTTTAGAAACTAAAAAACACCAGGAAAAGGACTTAAATAAATAGATGGGAAGACAAAAGCATCACTCGTTTATTTTCATACATTTATATTTTCCTTGACAATACTAAAGCTTAACAAGTAGAAATAAAATCTAAGACAAGTAACAAGAAAATAATGGAGTTGTTAAGTTTCACTAACTTTAAAAATCAGCTCACATTCACAGAAGGCAAAACTTCATGGTATCTTTAGTTAAAATGGCACAAAAGACAGTGCAAATAGCCTTACCCCAATTTAACTCCATCTCAGACTAATTATACTGGGAACAGATTTCAAACAAACTGACACACAAAAGCATTTACACATGGCTGTACAACATATTCATTACAAATCTCTTTCGACACAAGACATGTTGCTATCTTCCAACACCAAATAACTTAAGGAGCATAAGCTTGGCCAAAAAAAGGACCGACACTGAAAAGGGAGCCTTACCTACAGAAGGAAGTTCAATCAACTGAAATCCACTAACCGCACACAACATGCTATGCTGACACACACAAATCAGTTTACAGCATGTTAACGTTGAATTAGTTGAGAATTGATTAAGCAATCAATTTAAACTGAACCCATTATGCTGAGTGGAAATTAGCTCATGTAAATCCACATCAGGTTTTGTGTACATTTAAATCTTAAATAATCTTAAATCATGTTAATTAAGTCTATACAATATCCAGGTGCAAAAAAGGCTAGCACCACCAGTGTAACGCATCTCAAGACACTCTGAAATAATCTAGAATACAAATAACTGGAAAACAAGCTCTCTTCTACTTACCAAGCTTCTCTACCTTTCCCAGCAAACCAGACCTCAGCTTTTCTTGCAGCTATTTGCATTTTGAACTCATCCCCTGAAGGGATAAACAAGGTACAATCCTCATCCGTATTAAAAATGCACAGTTATTAACTTATATAATCACTATAGTTTGATATTTAAAATGCATTAAGTACAACTGTACCTTTTTATCTCTGACACTGCAGTTTGCTGTACTGCAGCAGCTGTCGGGGAGGTTCAGCTAGAAGCTTATTCAAGCCACAGGTTTGAGCTGTGGCATGAGCGCAGTTAGCAATAAGACGTGCTAAGACGAGAGCCTTTTTGCATGACAAGCATAAATATTTATGCTTCAACCTCACTGCCCTAAAGGAGTAACTTATTTCCGAGGACTGAGGAAGAAACAGCATAACTGTACATGCTGTTTAGATCGTTAAAAAACCCAAACCAAACAATAAAATACAATCAACTATACGGACCAGTGTAAAATTTATCACTACCCCTATAGGAATACATTCAGACAAGTGAGACTTCATAATAAATTACAGAATTTGTCCAATAAGGAACCTCGTCTGGAAGTTCCTTACATCGTCAGGATGGGAGAAAGAAAATAACCAACTGTGCCACACAAGGCTCTCTTTAACAGAGTTTAGGAAACCGTGGGTTTTGCTGTTGCTGTTTATTCCAGTATCAGCCTCACTGTTGGCACAGACCCAAAGTTAGCTTCAGTCCACAATCGAAAATACCACTAAATGAATGGTTTTATTTTTGTACAACAGACCGCTACTTCAGTCACGCTGCTACAGCAGAATAGCACGGGTAAGCTCTCAAATGTCCCCATTACAAGTAAATCAAAGGAAACGGCCACACGCAACTGACAGGACTTTGTGAAGCTCTGTCTGGGCCTGAGGAGAGGAGGTGCCGCCTGCGACCCCCGCCCCTGCCCGCCGGCTTCACTGAGGTGGGGGGGGGGGGGAAGCGGAGGGGAAGGCCCCTGCGGGTAGCGCCCGGAAACAGCTCGGGACCGCCCCGCTGCCCACCCCGGGAAGGGCAAGCCCGGGTCGCGCCGCCGAACCCACCGAGCGCTCAGAGGAAGCAGGGCGGGAACGGGACCAGGACTGGGGAGGGAAGGCATCGCCACTGCCACTGCCCGCGCAGCCCGTCACCTAGCAACCACTGAAGCACCGCCACCTGCGCACGCGCAGCAGACACGTACTTCCGCGACGATCGGCGTCCCCCGCCGGTGTCTGTCACCTGGCGCGCATGCGCCTCCCTGACGCGTCTTCGGACCCCCCCCTCCACCTCAGCCCGCCTGGCGCATGCGCAAACAGAAATGCACGCGCTTGCCGCAACCCGCGGGCTCTCAGCGCATGCGCAAGAAAGGGAGCTGCGTATTACCTCTTAACGGCTCTGTAGCCTCCGCTTCAATGAATGGGGCAAGCTGAGGAGGGGGCGGGCAGCTGTGAGCCAATGGCGCTCGGGGGCGGGGCGAGCGCCCCCAGAGGCACGCCGGGAGTTGTAGTTCCCGCGTGAAAGACTGCGGCGCGGAAGGGGGCGTAGGAGCGACTACATCTCCCAGCGTGCCTCGGGGCGCTCGCTGCTCCCGCCCCCTCCCGCGGCAGCTCAGCGCAGCGGCTCTGCGGTCCCGGTCGTGCTGTTAGAGGTGACCTCGAGGTGGTTGGACCCGCAGCTCCCTGCAGCCATGGTCGGTACCGCACCCTGAGCCCGTGGCCCTTCCTGAAGGGGGTGGTTGGGTCGGGGTGACGGCCGGATGCGCCCCTTCGCCGCGGCAGTTGTGGCGGGGGGGCTCCGTCAGGTGGAGGTGGCTGCGAAATGGCGCCGGCTCCCTCGCTGGGCTCCTCCGTGAGTGGTTTGTGCTCTGGGCACCCAGGAGGAGAGGGGCCTGGCGGTCGCCTGGGGTTCTTCTTAGCACCCACGGAGGCCGCGCTGGGGTCACCTTCTCCCAGCCTGGGGAGTCGGGGGTCGGTGCCAGGCCCCGCAGTGCGGGCTTGGTATCGCCTTTGGCTCCTCTTTTCTGGCGAGCAGGGGGCAGCGTATGGTCCCTGGCATCTTAATCGCGCCCTTTCCTAACTCCCGAGCCTAGCTGGTTAATTTCCATTACCTTCGGGGACATGGGAATGTCTGCTCCTTCATTTCATGAGACTTGAAAGGTTTTGGGTGCAGCTCGGTGTTAGCTCAAGGAAAAACTCGTGTAAAATGTTTTCCTCTCTTGTTTCATCCCTGCTTGCTGTCAAAAATCCAGCTGGTTGTGTAGATCCGGCAAAACGTCAGGGACTCCTTCTGTCTCTGCCCAGGGGTTACACAGGTGAACTGGAGTGCTTTGCTTTTCTGTGGCATATAGATGTATGAGCACACAGACCTGCGCAAAAATCTTCCTTTGTAACTACAAAAACATCTTTGTGTTTTCTGGACTTTATATACCGTTATTCAAACCTTTACTTTTAGTACTTTGCTATAGAGAAGATGCTTGTGTGCCCCAAAGCGTGGCTTGTTATTGCAGACATACCCTAAAAAATACCAAAATCTGTAGATCTTATCTGCCCTACTTTTCCACTCTTTCCATGCAAAATATGGGCTCTCAGGAGTGGCCACAAGACAGCAAATTTTAGTTTGTACTTGAGCTTTCACTTGACTTCCATGAATTCGCTGGTCTCCAGTCGCTAGCTGAAACTTAATTTGGTGTCCAGACTTTTAAGAATGCAACAGTTTTTATCTTGCTTTCAGTATTCTAATTATGCATTTGGTATGGGGCAGGGGCTTTAAACTTCTGAAATAAAATCATCTTGCCTATAGATGCAAAGTCTGTTAGGCAGACTCTAGACTTTTCAAGAGCTGGAGCTTAATGATTTTGTCTCATCAAGCAAGGGGGGTTAGCTTAGTTGGCTTTACTCTTTAAGAGTAGTGTTGGTGGTATTTTGCAGACATTTTAGCAGCAATAATGTTTATGGAGGTCTGTTATAACTGATTAACAATGTAAAGTCCATCAGTTGTGTTGACAGGACATAGATTTTTCTTGTTATTACGTTTGATAAGATTGTGGGTTATTTAATTTGGTCTGTTACCTTTGAAACCTCCAGAATCAGTTTGCAGTGTAGTGTTATTTTCATGTACGGCACTAGTATTTTAGGTCTGCTAATGTCATCAGTAATCATGGAGATAATTTGGGCACTGAGTTTTTAAGCCAAAGTGTGTGCAGGGGGAGGGCATTAAACCCACAGCTTCTTCATTTGATACCAGAAACTTTACTTTTATCTGTAATTGAGGAAGGGGAGAAATCCTCCTGTCTGCTGAATTAGAAGGGGAAGGGTATCTGGGATGCAATATTCAGTTAGGGTTTTCTCTTCCTTTTTATTGTTTCCTTTACTGCTTTTGAGTTTCCTGAAACTTTTTAGTTATACACCAACTGTATGTGAAGTGGGGAAGGATTTGAAACTAAATAGTTCAGTTAGACGTCATGTAGTTTGTCCTCTATTTCTTGAATACCTGAGAGTGAGTAAAGGTCACCTCTAGTTACCACAGTGTGAAAGTATTCTCATTGAAGCTCTGTGCAGGAGCCAAGTCACAGATTAAAGTGCCTGAATGTGATTGTGTATAGCCTACAACTTCCACTGGGGAGCCACTAATTTCTCTGAACATCCAGCCTCCAAAAGTAGCCTCGGATGCTCAATGATACCAATTTTTACATGTGATGTAAGATTTCTGGGGAGACTTAACTGTTTTGTAAGAAGCACAACATTCTTGGTTTGCTGATCTTGCTCTGGAATCAAGACAGAGCATGAAAATTGATTTGATACTAATTGCTTGCAATTAGTGCGGGGGATTGGGTGAAGGTTGTATGTGAATACAATGTACTGAAGGTTTGGAGAGAAAGAACAAGTAAGCAGTGCTCCTACCTTATTTTAGCTGATGTTTCTTCCTCTCTTCTCCAGCCCCAAATGGGAGGAGAACAGGGAGTATGGTAGTAAACAAACATAGTGACGTAATTTTTTTGAGAGGGTGAAGCAGTCATGGCTGAAGGTGTTTTACTTTGTTTTTAAGCAAGACTAAATGTTAAGTCTGTCTTGTTTAAAAAAAAAAGTGGTCCTACCTCTTGTGGTTATTTTATCCTATTTACTAAATGCTCACTATAATGCTAGTGGGTAGATTTGACTTTTTTATGTTTAAATAAAACAGCACATAAAGTGCATATTGTGGAGAAAATTCTTGTTGACTGCTCCCTGCTCTGTGGCACTACTTCGGTTAGGCTTACCAGTTGCATTGGACAAAGGCTAACTTCTTAACATCTTTGCTCATGTTACTGGCAATTCAGTAATCAATCCAAGATACCATGTAATTCAAAGCAAATGCATTCTAGTGTTATCTGTGTGAGTTCTGGAGCAGCAAGATTTTGCAGCACAGTAACTTTCTAGCATTTATTTTCTTAACTAATGTGATTAACTGTCTTAAAAAAGCGTTCATTGTGTCCTTTATGTTAATAAAATGCGGATTCTCCTTAAGAACATGATGAACTGGCTTTAAAATCTGGCACACCTCTTAATCTGTGCTGCCCACCATCATCCAGACACTATGGTACGTTTGAAGGGTATGACTTCCCTACTCAAGAGTGATGTACCAAAACTAGTTTTGAGATCTTAAATCAGCAAGAATCTATGGTTTGCTCTCATTCTTCTTCCTCATAGAGTCTGACAAGGTTTGAGGGGTGAGACTCACAGTGAGACAGGTTCAGAATTAAATAATGCAGTTCAACACCATAACCAGTAGCCATTTAACCAAATATTTTAAGTGTCCTTCCCATAATGGAGGCAAAATCATCTCAAGGTCTAAATCTGCAAATTCAGTATTTATCCAGCATGTGGAAAAATGGGGTGGGTGGCCTCATTTTTACAGTTATCTAATGCTAGCGTGATGTGGCTGTGCTTGGCTGGTCACTTCTGCAGAGAGAATACACTCAAATCCCAAAATGGTTTTCCTATAAATATCGATGACAGGAATGTCAGTTGGAAAGGATCTCTAGAGGTCATCCAGTCTCACCTCTCTTGTTCTGAGCCTGGAGATTGTCCAGTGCAGCCTGATAAAAAGGCTTTTGCCCAGCTGAATCATGTCATACATGTTTTTTCATATGGGTCTTGAAAACCACTAAGGATGAAGGTTGCACAGAGTCTCTGGGTACCCTGTTGCAGTGCAGCAGTACTGCCCTCATGAAGAGTTTTGAGCTGTTGTAGCCATTGCCCCCTGTTCTACTATCTGCCACTACTGAGGTGTTTGGCAGC